CACGAGCTTGCAGCTCAGGTGTGGTGCTGCCAGGGGACAGAGCCGCATCCCGCAGCCAGGCTGGCTTGGGATGCTGACCGGTAGCCGTGGGCTGCCTTACTGTGGAAAAATACAGAGCATCAGCATTTTGCAATGTGTGCTGGAGCCCAAATTTGGTCTTATTCACAAGGACGGAGGAGGCCATTGTGTTCAGAGAAGTGAAAGCCTGGGTGATGTTCTCTGCTATTTTTGAAACATTTTCTATGTAAAGCAGTTTCTTAAAAACACAAGCCCTGCACTGGTTGATACTTCCCAAATAGTTGTTCTATCCCACGTGGAGACACTGGCTGCAGACAGCCCCAGACATCTGTTCCTCATTTCCTGCCTTTTTCTTTAATGTGAGAAGATTTAGTGTCCTGCAGTGCCAAACAAATGGATTTGCTGGATCCCCTGTCATTTAATTCTCCCCCTTATTACACTAATGGCTCAAGAGCTCTACATTAAGCATAGGCTGAGGGCATCTCCAAAATGAGAGGTCACCTTTGGCTCTAAGGAACCATCTCCTGAGTATGGCACTGGTTGCCTTGGCCGGGAGAGAGGAGGATGTTGGGTCGGTTCTGGACTACTCTGGGCTATACCACCCAGTGCCATGTAATTGGAAAAGCCATCAAGATTTCTCCAGATTGAAGTCTGGAAATCTGGTCCCACACATCAGCGACCAGCTGTGTTCCCTGGCCTTGACTGTAGTACATGCACCACCAGTCTCCCACGTCCTGGCTCAGACCTTGCTGCCTGTGCGCTCTTCAAGAGAAACTGGAGGACCCCAGTTCTGGTGAGTGTGGAAGCTCTGCTGCAGTGCTAGTGCTTGAGCTGCCTTGAGTCTAATGCTCTCAGACTGCAGTAAAGGGGGATTGTATCAGAGTAGTGGCTGAGATGCCAACCCCACTGAGGAGAGGTGGGTGTAGTGCAAGGACGAGCTGCCAGCTTGGAGCTGGGAGCATTAGCAGGGGAAAGAGAATCTCATCATATGGACAGAGTTGGAGTCCTGGGTCAGCCTGTCTCCTTTGCAGCATCAAGACTGGCTGGGTCTTCCCAAAAGCTAAGTGTTCCTGCTGCCTCTTTCCAACAAGCCTCTGGGACAGAGATCATGGACAACATTGTGGACAGCAAAGGATGTTGTTAATACCTGCTACCAGGGGTGCTGGGCTTCCCTGCTCTAGGAAGACCAGCTCCTGAAGTCTTGGGAGCTCCTGTACAGACCATGCAGTGGAAATCATCAGCATTCTCATCTGATCCTCTCTGGCATCTCTTTCTTCCAGGTCACATACAGCCTCCTACATCTCACTGACTTTTCCTTTTTCTCCAGTTACCACTTGATTTCCAGGAAGACAAACCTACTGTAACAAACAGCGCACAGTCCTTCTTGCACAAGGAAACAAGAATAGCCATGGAACATAAATTTCCAACATGGAAACACCCTGTAGGAGACGGGCCATGTTCTGGGGCCATTTCCTGTTTGTTTAGGACACAGCCCGTGTTCTCTTTGCATATTGTTTTGCATATTGCCTTTACAGGGTCAAGTTGCTTTTAGCTTTCAAGGGCAAATCTCCCTGCATGAGTCATACATTCCTTCAACCTGTGAGAACCTTGACCCTGTGCACAGGCCTGGCAAAGCTGCAGTGGGTGGGAAATGCTTGGAGCTGCTTTCAGGTGTCTCATGGCAGAGACAGGATCTGGCTCTTTGGCCCGTGGTTATCTGTGGTTTGGAGCAATAAGCCAAGCTCCTGGCTAATGGTTGCCAGTGAGCAACCAAAGGTTAGGGGTATGGCATCAGATCAGGCTTCTGACCATGCCTTGTGCTGTCACCAACATCTAGTCCACACCAGACGTTGTTCTCCCTTTCTCCGCAGCAAAGCCAGTGTTTAAGTAGCAGGACATCCACCCTGATATGAAACTGTCCTTAAAGCAGAGCAGGAACTGAAGCCAGACAGCCCAGACTCCAGCCTCGACGCCAAACTGTCTGGCATGAGCCACCAAGTGCTTTTGTAGGTGCGTGGGATCAAACCTGGAGCTGTGGGCCCAGAGGTTACAGCCCCAGCCCCAATGGTGTACAGTGCCCTGTGCATGGTCCCTCTGCCCACACGCATTAGCAGGTGCACAGACGTACATTTGCTCATGTTTTTTCCTTGTCCATGTTTCAGATCAGCCTAAGGTCCTTCCTCATTCATACTACAATTAACATTATATGGGGGGGAAAAAAGCAACCTTCTTCCTAGTATCTACTGCTTTTCTTTGGTGCTATACCATCCCTTCAGAGAGCCTTTGGGTGCTAAGGGTAACCTCAAGAAGCCTCCTTCCAGTCCTCCTAAGGAAGAATGGGGAAGGGCTGTGATGAGCTGCCCCAGCCTGTGGCCTTCACTGGAAGGCTATGATGTTCATGGTGGGCTTTCTTCCTCCTCAGTCTTGGTCTGTTTTGTTTCATTTTCATATATTTTCTTAGCACAGTCTGTATTCCCTGGTTCCCAGTTACTCAGTTTTTCTGCTCTTTGCTTGAAAGCTGGTTGTCCCTGACTTGCAGAGTTGCACACTCCATTGCTTGGGCACTGTGGTTCGTGTTTATGGACTGGCATTGTCCTCTTCTGCCTGCCCTCATCCACATGACAACTTAATCTACAGTCCCAGACCCACACTGAGTAACTACTTGCTATTCCTAGAAACTAAAGCAAAAATAAATCAAATTAAGATAACAGCAATTGCCTAGACAATTTCTATCATAACCAAAGAAGCTAAAATAATCTGAAATCAAGACAAGTCCAGAGAAGACCTGAGACCCTTCACTGTCAGATCAATATAATGCCTGTGGTTTATCACTAGTTACAGCAGAAATAGCTCCTGGGCTACAGCAGGCCCTCTGACTTCAGGTTTTTCAGTGCTGCAAGACCCAAAAGAAGTGCAGTAAGTGGCTGGCACTGGCGTGCTGGAGGAGCAGATGTGCAATGGGACAGGGAGGGTCGTATAGGAAGCAAGTTGGGAGCAATGATGCCAGTTTTCTGCCAGCTGCAGCCCAGGTTTGTCACTGCTCTTTGGAGCTGCCCACTCCCTTCAGAGCCAATTGCTGTGTCCTGCTTTTGGTAACTGTAGGGCTTGCCGGTGGCTTAGACCCATGGCACTGCCAGCATGTGAAGGCTTGCCACGTCCCACGGAGCTGCACTGAGGCTGCAGCTGCCCTCCGCCGCCCTCCTGCAGGTTTTTCCTTGTGCAGATTCCACCTCCAAATCCAGCTGCCGAGCTCACTAGGAGCAAAAGGAGGTCTCTGAGAGTGTCCTGGAGAAGTCCCCTACCAGGCAAAACACCACTAGCCCAGTCTGCGCAGGAAAAGCAGCTGCGTTACCCTGCCTGCCAAAGAACTGTTTGCACCTTAAAACCAACAACGCCTGTGGCAAGTCATGCCTTTAGCAAACAAAGCACTCACCCTCCCACGTTATGTGCATACTGGGGCCCTTCCTCAGTTTTATCCATTGCTGGCAGTAAACCCTTTGCAGAAGAAGCAGAACTTGTTTCTTCAGGGGAGATGTGAGCATGTGTGGGCTGTGCCATCACTGCCAGCGGCCAATGCGCCCAATAGTCTCAGGCAATGCCAGTTCCTGGAATAAAAGTTTCCTGTAAGGCTCTGCCCAGCCAGAGAAAATACCATCTGGGGAAGGGTCCAGAAAGCATCCCAAAAGATGCAGCATGTTGTGGTCCAGCTGGTTCAAACAGATTATTTCAAGGTCTTTATTTTATTTTCTTTCCTTGAGATGGGTTTTATTTTCTATTGCAATATAAGCAAAGGCTGAAGTTACAGGCTAGGAGTTTCACCAAGTGTTTCAAAAATGCAGCATATGGAAACTTGGGGGTTTTCACTCTTTAGGAATAAAATCCTAACTGGAACTGCTGGAATTTCCCACAGAACAGAGAAGCCAGGTTTCCACCAGCCCTAAGAAAACTCTGGGAAAAAAAGATTTCAGGGGCAGCCACACTGTCTCAGTCTTGATCTTATCTTCGTCTTTCAGTTGAAGGAATTGGCAGGGGAAAATTGTTATGTATTCTGCTGGGATCTGAGATGAAAGAGAAAATAAAGGTGCAGGATGTGACTGCTGCGTTGGTATGTCCGCTTCAGACCTGGCTTCATGCTCGTGCCAGGAAGCCCCCCAGCTGGCCTGGTTGCTTGCAGATCTGGGGGACTCATACTCCTGCTCTCAGCATCAGCAAGACCTCGATGGCTGAGACCCTGCCATATATCAAAAGTCAGGGCTGTAGGAACAGGCACATGCCACAGACAGCATGCCCAGGGACAAGGAGCTGCTTGGGGAGGCCACTGGGTCCCTGCTCACCCCTTGCTTTGGTGATGCTCTAAGAGGCAGCCTTGTGTGAGCTCACCAACCTAGTTGATGAATTTGTAATCCTGATTAGGAAATTCCACCTCTTTTGGCCTAACAACCAACGCTGCTGTTATAAGATGTCTGCCAAAAAGGTAGGGAATAGCTGTTTTTGCATTCAGGGGTAAATAATGAGCTTAATGTGCATTGGGGAGCTGCAGGTTGAAGGTGGAGAGAGCTTTACAAGCCTAAGGACAGGATGCCTTAGCGCAGGCTGTCTGGCCAAGAGACACATCAGTGGGAGAGGAGGATGGAGCTGCTGACTCCTGAAAGTCCCTGCCTGAATAATTTGCCAAGGAGGCTGGAGCTGCTCTGTGTGCACTAAGAAAAGCTGATGTAAATGCAGCTGGGGAATTCCAGGAGCCATCTAGCTCTGGTGCAGGCAGTATTCCCTCCCCTGTCCCGCTCTTCCCTCCGCCTCCTGTCGTCACCCTGAGACACGTGTGGGGGGAGAAGAATAACAGCTGAAAACCCCATCTCAGGGCTTCATAATCCTGGAATGAGCTGCAGCAGCTGTGCTGTTCCGGAGGATGCAATAAGCAGTCAGGAGTGGGAAATAACTGCCTGTAATCCTTCCCTGCGTGCCCTTCCTACCGCGGGAACATGAAGGCTGTTTCTCTCCGGGTCCTGTTTGTGCTGAAGATCTTGTGCCTGGCGACCCTGGCTGGAGGTGAGCCACAGTGCCCCTTGCCACCCCCTGGGCTCCCCGGAGGAGCAGCCAGGTTCACGAGGGGCTAGGGAAGAATGGGGCGGGGGGGGGAAGTGGTGCTGGATCGGGCTGTGGGCACCAAGGGACCTTTGTGGGCTGTGGGAGATCTCGTAGCAGGATCAGGCTGGGTTTGGGAGGCAATCCTGGCAGCAGGGAAGTGGGAGCAGCCCCGTGATGGCTTTTGTCACTCCTGAGGGTAGGTGGGGAGAGTGTTGGAGAGACTTTCTGGTGATCCATATTGGAAAAGAATCATAATGCACTTCTTTTCCCCTTTTTTCATGTCCCCTAGGGACATGCTGTGGGGGCAGGCCGCAGCCCATCTGAGGGTGGCTAGCTGTCTGCACAGGCTCCCTGTCCTGAGGGTGCTGGTGCTCCCATGGCTGCGAGGCGGGGGGCTGCTGTCGCCTGCAGCCCCAGTGCCTGTGCAGTGTGTGTGTGCAGTGCGCACCTGTGTGTGTGTGCACAGGTGGGAAACGCTCTCCTGTTCGCTGGATAAAGATCTTAGCGAGCTCCAGGGTGGTGCTGAGTGGGGCCAAAGGACCAGGAGGAGGTGGGCGCAGCTCTCCTTGGGTTGCTCTCGGTTTAAGTCGTCTGTGGCACAGAGCAGTGATTGCTGCTCAAGGCAGCAGTTAAGCAGAGTGGGTTGCCAGGCTGGCAGCCAGCTTCTCAGCAGTGCAGGCAAAGCTGGACTTCACCCAGGACAAAGGAATGGTCTATTCCCACCATGGGAAGGGAGAGGGGCAAAGAGCCCTTAAGATCTATGCCCTGTTGCCACCAGATGAGAGGAGTGAGGACAGCAAGAAGGGCAGCTGGGGATGGAGCTTCTTCCTCTCCTCACACCTCTGGGCAGGTTCTCCAGGGCTGGCCTGAGTAAAGTGGGCAACAGGGACACCGGGCAGCTTATCCTGCCCTGGGAACCCGTTGCCTGCTTTGGCACTGCCTAGCTCTGCTCACCTGCGACCAAACATCCATCTCCTCTAAAGTGATGAAATCAGGCTGGCTTTGCAGAAAGAAAGGCTGGTGGTGCTCCCTGGTCAGGGTCTCCTGAGGAACCATGCTGAAAAGCAGGTACCAGTGGCTCCCAAGAGCAGTGCCTCAGAGGAGTGGTGGTCCTGGATGGGTAAACTCTCAGTTCCCAGGTGTCCCCAAGGTCCCTTTGGCAAAGACTCAGATGCAGCTCAGAGAAGCAGAGTTGTGTGCCCCAGGAGGAGGGGGACTACCAGGGCTGGCTCCATGCTCCCTGCAACGCTGCTCTCTCCTTGGTACGTGCTTTCCAAGCTCCTCCGCTCTGGGAAGAACACCCCAGGAGTTCAGCTAATTGCAAACCATTTGCATTGGTGCCAATAATTGTAAAATCAGCTAACGGTTAACAGAGAAAGGCCTTTGGGAGCAGTCTCTGACCATTCCCTGCCATGCACCTCCTCGACTGTCCACAAGGACGGATCTGGCCCTCTTTGCTGTGCCTGTTTTGTTGAACACTGCTTCTGAAAGTGGAGGACACCAGCAGTATGTCCTCTGGCTAATGAGAGTTAATTGGGAAGTTGGTTGCCCCGAGCTATTCTTGACCCTAAAGTGCCACAGAAGACATTATTGTGTGAACAAAGAGTTTTGCTTTAACATTACAGAGACCTAGAGATTGAAATGTGCTTCTGCAGAGAGGCCGCAGGAGTGTTTGCTTGGGATTTCTTTGCAACCATGCATTTCCCCAGTAAATGAATCAAAAGAGCTGAGGGTGCTCCTGTAGCGATGCTCATTCTTGCACCTGGTGGATGGATCATTCCCAACTGAACTGCATCAAATTCACCAAATTGATTTGGGAATCTGAGATGACATTTTGTAGAGACTGCCTGATCTAAACCAGACTCCAGCTCCTTTCTTCACAGGGGGCCTCAGATAAATCAGGGCTTGTTTTTCTAAGTCTTGCCCCCTGGGATGTCAGAAACAAATTGCCAGGCTGCATTGTGCAACCTCCTCTCACGTGGCAGATGCCTGTTGTTGGAGGCTGGGGGTAGGTGCAGGAATGAAGGGTCCCCAGTGGTGTGACTGGCATTTCTCCTTGAAGGGTTCAAGTGGGGTTTTGTTTTTACGCTTTGCAAATTGAAAACCATATTTTCTGGTGGAGATGGAAAAGAGATGTTTGGTGAGAAACTGTGCTGTGAAGCAGGGCTGCTGAGATATCTACGGGAGCAATGTATCATTCACCAAAAGGTTCTTTCCCTGCACCCTTTCTCTGAGTCCAAGTCACATTCAGAGACCACACACCAGCAAAGAGAGAGGCAGGATGCTTGCCTGGAGGGGAACTCCCGTGGGAGGAAGAGTTAGGATTGATCCAGATAAGGGGAGGACAAGCATCCTGCCCTCTGATCTGCACTGTCTGCACCAAGAGCCCATTGGTGACAGTTGCAGCAGGTCTTTGGGGGATGAAGAAATGTGTCTGCTGGGCAGCATGCTGAGAGCAGTCCTCCTGTGACCCAAATGGGAGAGGACCTGCAGGTCCAGGTGCTTGCACAAAGGACCTCCAGCCAGTGCTTGCACATCCTGTAAGGCAAGCTGCAATGGTGTCTCAAGAGCCCCGCAATTTTCGCAGTGCTTTTTTTGCAGTTTTCTGGGTATCTTATCACCTGTTTGGGTGATACAAACAATCGTGGCCCTGATGGGATTTGTCTTCATCTCATTTTATCAGGAATTGGAAACTTTCATGGCAAGCTTTGGATTTCTTCTCCCCAGAGAAAGGGAAAAAGAAACAGTGCTGTTTTTTATAGTACCTAATAAAAGCCAACATTTAATATGTTGAAAACTTTATTTCAGGGCAACCCAAAGCACCTCTGAAGTGTTCAACAGAGTGCAGCCGTTTTACATCTGGGATAGCGGCGAAGCGGATAAAGAGCTACCGCATGACCGAACCCCGCTGCACTAAACAAGCTGTCATGTAAGCGCAGCCCCACCGCCTGCCTCCCTTGCCGCACGCCCTCCAACCCCGATTAAGCATTACCCCATCAGCAAATGCCCTTGTTTGGAGCAAGGAGCAATCTGGAAACAGAGCAGACGCTGGTATTTATTTGAGGGGCAGGTTGGTTTTTTTCCCTATTTAAAGACCAACAGCCTCCATGTGAGACCAAGGGCTCAGGCACAGAGTGAGACAGGGATAAATGGATGGTGAAAGGGACTGACAGACGTACTTGTTGGCAGAACAGGGCAGCAGAAGCATGCAAGGCAAGAGCTCACGTGTTTCTGTGAAAGCAGGTGTTTTCTCTGGAGACAGATTCAGACTTTTGAGCTTGTCTGGAGAGGCAAAAACCTACATTTTTTTTCCCCAGGATAATTGTTGTTCTCAAATTGCCCAGAAGATGAGGCACCATTGGGACCACTTTGTTGCAGCCCAGGAGGTTGCTCTAAAGTGAACCTGCTGGGCTGACCTTGGAAAGTCTCATCTCACTGAGTAAATCAGAAGGTTTTGCCTTCACGTATGCTTGCCCCTGAGCAGCTGGTGCCTGCAGAGCTTCCTGCTCTGAGCACTGGAGGCAGACTGCATCCAAACATCAGAACAATGCTTTCAAAAGAAAAAATTCAGGGGGGGGGGAAACCCTTCACCCATGAGTCACGTTCAGCTGCTCCTCATTCAATCAGATCTCAGAGGCACCTGCCCTTCCTGAAATAAATAATCCATCCAACATGATGGTGTTTACTATGGGCTTGAGAGAGTTAGTGTTGCTGTCTGCGTGCCTTCCCTATCACGCTGATCTTCTAAACGAATGTTTTCTTTATCCAGTAATCCCTTTTTATTTTCAGATTTATTACTCTGAAGTCCCTGGAGATTTGTGCAGATCCAGAGGCAGAGTGGGTGAAGAAGATCATACAGAAACTGGACCAGAAAAATGCCATAGCCTCCCCACTTCCATGTGATGCCACCTCAGCAGTGGCACCAGAAGAGGTCGGTGTTTTTCAGAAACATGTTGGTCTTACAATAACAGTTCCATCTCAAGCGACTGCTCCAACTAGTTTCTTCCAGGGGACTGGCACAACAGTTCTGGAGAGAATACGTGTTCCTGCTGCCAGGACAGAGGCATCCAGCAAGCCTCCACCAGCCATGCAGGACACCACCCAGGTCCCTGCAGGATCATCCCCTGTGATACAGGAAGTTGCTGCCCGCTCAGAAGTCACTCCAGAAGCAAACAGAGATTCCTTAAAATCTCCTGCACCTTCAACAACTTTTGCAGCAGGCATGGTCTCCAGCCAGTCCACCCCATATCCCACGGCTCTTGTGCATAGCTTTGACAATGCTGTGGGATCTACAGAAGAACCTGTAGGACGTACCGCAAATGCTACGGCTCATATTGGAGACACCGCTTCTCCTAGCTCAAATTCAGACCCCATGGACATTACTAAAGGATCAGACCATCCTGTACTTTCTACAAATGAATCCCTGGACCCTACAAGTGCAAGAGACAATGCACCAGATGCTGCTTCTAGCAGTTCTAGTTCAGATCTCCCCTCCCTCCTGGGCAGCATGGAGATCACCACAATCCCAGCCACACCAGTTCCACCAGAGGCTACCCCAATTTCTACTCTAAACTCCACAACTGCCACAGACAAAGGTACTTCTGTCTATACCAATAAGGTTGCCAATTCTTCTGCAGGTGCTTTTGGTACTAGAATATTTGATTCTTCATTGCCTGTAGCAAAGCAAGAGCCTTCAGATACAATAGTTTTTACTAGTCAAGCATTCTCAGGCCAAGTCAGAGTGCAGATAACTACAGAAAGACCAAACAATCTGCTTCTTCACAGCTTCTTATCAAGATCTCAGATGCATTTTATCATCCCAGTTTCTGTGGTAGGTGGTCTGATGGTTTGCAGTGTTGCCATTGTGTGGCTATATCTAAAATTTGGAGTCAAAACGGAAGAAACGTCAAGAGAAATGGTACAGGGGTTGCTCTACCAGAATGGAGGACATGAAAACAGTGTCTATCCAATGGAAGTAATCTGAATGCTTTATGGTGTGGACATTTTTGGCCTAAACCAGATGTGTGTTGCTGCAGGAAAGCTAAATTTATGCTCAACTGGTGACCAGTAGGAAGCAAAGCAGGGAATAAAAATACCAGAGAAAACTGAATTTTTTTGCAGAGCAGAATGTCAAAAAATATATTTAATTTGTATATTGGAAATAAATGAGATGCTTTTTTCTTCTGGTACTGTTACTTACAAAGGCTGTTGCTGTTCTAGAGCTGCTTGGTGGCTCTTTGCCAGGTGCTGGGCAGAAGTGAATTTCCAAATTGCTGTTGGGAATTTTTCTGCATTTCATCATGGCCCAGCTGAGAAGCCACCCACTCCCCCACACTGCTGGACTCGGGCTCAGCCACCTTGAGCAATCTTAACACCAAAATCACACAATTTGCACTTAGCAAACTCTCTGTTGCTTCTTTCTTTGCACTTCAGATCACTGCTCTGTCAGACCAAGACTGATGCTGGTGGCCAGCTGGATGCTGGCTCTCCTTGGGCTGATCAAATACCCCATTTGCTCTTGTGGAGACACAAGGGGTAGTCTAGCTTTTCAGACAGAGGTAACAAAAACTGCATCTGATTAGGGGACTGAAGGTCAGTGCTACAGATTCCACATTCAGAGGAGCTGGCAGCACACAATTGATCTTCTTGAAATCGGGCCACCTTTCTCTCCAACAGCTACAGGCATTTCTTCTTGCTGACTTAGTCTGAGACCTAGTTCTTGGCAAATCAACTGCAATAAAACCCTTCTGCCAGCTGATGCGCCCTGTGTCCAGCCACGTCCAACAACAGGGCAGGATAATGTGGAGGAGCCTTTGCAAATGGGAGAAAACAAGGAGTCACCCAATAATTTTGCTATTCATGTGATAACATTGGAGGGTTTTTGCTGTTCTCTGCAAGCACAAAACCCAGGAAATATTCTCTTGGAGTAGCTCAATGCAAGTCTGAATTTAGTCATATAGGAATTACTCCACTACAGCAGATGTACCATCCTTCTGGTCCCATATTCTCTCTAGAAATCAGCATGTTTGCCAATCCATAAAAAAGCAAAAAGTACCTGTTCATGGTCGTACACTTCAGCTGCATTTTAGGTTTTCTTTTTTGGCCAGCAACGATCACCAGGCTATTAAAGCACCATAACAGTACCAAGCTGTTTTTTTAAACCCAAATTGTTTTTGACTTTTAGACGTCTAGATGTTACTGTATGTAAGCCTTATCTTTTATCTGTGGTCAGTTCCTGAAAACCATTATTAAACATTGACTCCAGTATGAATTTTGCTGGAGCGTGCACAGGTCTTCAAGATATGATGCTTTGTAGGTAGAGCTACACATCAAGGGTCAGATCCTCTGCTAACCAACCTCAGTGGATCAGAGCCCAAAGTATAAATATGCATGTAGAAAAAAGAAAGCAAAACCACATAATAAGCAAGATAATCAAAGAAGAAATGATGGGCCAGCTGTAAAGCAGAGCTAGAGGAAGGTGGCCTATTAGATCCATCAGACAGCACCTTCAGGGCATCTAGCCCTGGAGGTGGAGGGGATAGACTATAGCGGTGTTTGTTTTCTGCCTTCATTCAGTCCCTTAGTTCTGCATTTTGTTGACTTGAGAGAGGGGAGCCAGGTATTCATCTCGGGCTTTGCAAGTACAGAATGCAATCAGATTAACTGTAATTAGGAATTTGGGGTGAAACCCCTCCTTGTACAGCAGCACTCCTGTGCAGCCCAGCTCTGTAATGCTGGCTGGCATTGATTTACGTGGAGGGTAAATTGGAGGCTGTCGGCACAGCCTCCCCATCTGCCCCGCTTGCATGTGGCTGGGGTTCTGGCCTCACAGTTTGTGAGGTGGTGTACTATGGCATTATTTTTATACGAAATACTAGAAATGTTATTTTTGTAGTAAAGTTTTGTAGCCGTTTGAATGTATGTAATGTCCTGTCCTTGCTACTGAAGCATCACGGAGTCAAGACATTTTCTGGAAACATTGGAAAACACCTTGTCTATTTTCTTGCTGGTCTTGGATGGCTTGTGCATGTCCATGGGAGCTGGGTCACTCTCCAGGCAGTACAGAAATGGAGTGGACACTTGTCTTGTCTGGCTATGGGTGAAGTTCTCAGCTTGGAGTGATGCTGGGGAGATGAACGTGCACCAGGCAGATCTGATCACTTCAACTCCCGCCATGGTATTTGTAAGGACACTGGTTTCAGCTCCACAGCCAGCTCTCACCATCTTCCAGCTGCCATGGTCATGCTGGCACTCATCAGGAGGAGCTGCTCCTCCAGCCCAGATCCGTTCTTTTACTCATCTTGCTCCCCTCTCCTGTTTCCAGACTGCTACCAGGCAGGATGCTGGCAATCCTCATGGGGGGCAGTTAAACCCCAGGGGGGACAACGACTGCTGCTCCTCCTTGCTTTACGCTGTGCGATGGGCAGTCTGGGAGGGCATGAGGCAAATGCCAATACAGAAGGACGGAGCCTGCGGGTGTCACTGGTTCCTGGGGCTTATTCATGTCATTTGCTGTAGAACATAGTGACTTTTACAGGTTCCGATTCATTTGTGTATCAAATATATATGAGTACGTGCGCGAGATATATGTTCTGTACCTTTTTTTAGAAGTAAAAGTAATAAAGTCCTTATGTTAAAAACTCTTGTCCTCAGAGGATTCAGCCCAGGACTGGGTGAACAAGTCTGGTCCCTCCAGAGGTGCAGAGATGAATGCATACACTTAAGTACCGTGGGGGGGGAATCCCAGCATCACTGAGAGATGGGAAAGCCAGCACAGTTGATGCAGTCGGGCTATTGCTCCACCTCTTCACTGTTTAAGGGCTTCGGGCTTGCCAAAAATTTGCAGGGAATATATTTTCTCACAGGGAGTCGCATTTCCTATACTGCTAAGGCACTACTGAAAAAACAGCTGGGTTTTTGCTTTGTTTCAGCAAAGCTACAGCCAAACAGCAACCCACGGAAAACAAACGTTGTGCTCCAAGTCTGTTCTGTAAGGGGACGAGAGGGCAAGGGCTGAGCTAGGATCTCTCCCACCCCAGCAAGGGCTTGGGCTGCTCTTGCATGCTTCTCTCTGGTGTAAGGAAGGAGAGGTGGGAAAGGCAACACAAAACAAGAGTCAGTGCCCAGGGACTTGCCTGGAGGGGGGAGCTGGAAGAAGCAAGAGGGTCATGGATGAGCATGTCCCCTGCAATCCAGCCCCATGCTGTGTGGCCACCCTGCCCCATGCTCTGGCACCACCGGCTTAGTGGGAGGATGGCGAGGGCCATGAAAATTTCCCACAGATGAATCACCAGGCCAGAAAGGTCATTCTGGGGATAAGAAGCTCTGTGGAAAGAAAAACACTTTTTTTTTTTCTTTTTTCCTCTCTGTTATGGGGAAAGGGCAGGCGAGGGAGGGGGAGGCTGTGTAAACAAGGCAGCCCTGACAGTGATGAATCATTTCCAACATGCAGAGCAAGCGCCGGCGCCAGCATGGGCCGCTGGGGAGCTGTGGCTCCGGAGCACTGAGGGAGCTTTTGGATGCCCGGTCCCTTGGCCAGCTGGTGGCACACACTCGCCGGCTTTGCTGCTGCTCCCTGGCTTCTCTAGGTCTGACAGTGTAGGGAAGGACCTTGTGTGGAGGATGTCCAACCGTGCACCTTCCCGTGCTCCTCCTGGAGGTCCGTGGGCTGCCTCCAGTGCAGAATTCGGCCCAGAAGACAAGTAATGCCTGTCATGCTCAGGTGGGACAAGGCTTGCCTTCTGCACCTTGTGTGCAAGACACGTGCTTCTGCCTCGAGATTTCCCCCCAGCCACCAGGAGACAGGGGGCCCATGGTCATGGTGTGCCCCTTCTGGTCCCTTGCTGACCCACATATTTTGTTTTCAACCCCACACCACTGCAAACCCTCTCCACCACTTCGTTAGCCAGCTGTTTTGATTGACCTTATGAGAACAAGGAGTCAGTGGAATGCCACACAGGCCCAGCTCCATGCATTCCCATCCCCATAGGATCCATCAGATGGCAGGGTGACAGGCCTTGAGGGCACTTATTGGTCTTAATCACCCTGACCAGCCTTACCTGTGGATTGACTCACCCCCCTCCCACACTCCCCTCTGCCCACTGCCCAGGAGCCCCATTTAAGCTCAGGCTTGAGGCTCTGGTCCTTGCTTTGGAAGTGTTGTAAGAGTGCTGGTCTGGTGTCCTGGCCCTGGCCCTTGGATAGACCTTAGACCTAAGCTGTAGGTATCTTGTTGCCTGGCTGGCTGGACCCTTTGGTGCTGTAGCCCTGTCTCTGTCCCCATCTCCTGCTGAATAGACACCCCCGAACCCTCCCCAATATATCCTGGCTCTAGTTCCTCACTTTGGTGTGTCTGGGACTGTTGATGGACCTTGTTACCGGCCCCTGGCTCTGCCACCCATGCTCAGACCCAGTGGGACCCCACCTTGCTGGTGAGGATGCTGCCTGTGCTGGGGTCATCCTCAGCTCCTGGCTTGTCCCCTCTCACTCCCCCCTGTGGCCTGGACCTGGCAGTGAGACACCTCTGCCTTTGTCTTCTCCAAGCCCTGACTTCTCTCCAGGGTGATGTGTGAGGGGCATGGTTATTCCTGTGAAGCAGAGACCCTGCAGTCTCCATCCTGTCTGGTTTGAGACTTAGATTGTGACTTATGAAGTGTCTGTCCCTGCTCAGCATGGTGGTTTTTCTATGAAATGTTGCGTAAGCGCACTTGTGCTCATGGCAGCCTCTGGTCAAGCCAACGTACCACCACTTTAATAATGCTGGCTTAGTGGAACACAGGATGTCCTCTTCACTGCTTTGGCTCTCTGGTTGCACAGCTGTAGTTCTGCTGTGTGGCTGTGGTTCTCCCGTGCTTTGCGCTTGCTTAATCTCCACTTCTATGAGGATTGTGTCCCTGCTCACGTCACTGCAAGGGCTGCTCTTGTAGCTGAAGTCCCCCTTGGGTAAACAAGAGATTGTCAGGACTCTCCAGGGTCATACCTCAT